GCGCGAATCCAAGCTACTGTTTAGCGTCGCTCGGGCACTTGTTGGTGCAGTCTTTTCGAATCAATCATTTCATTTCAATTGAACAATAATCAAGCAACAAGAATCAGCAAACAAATCTTTTTAGCCTCAAGTGCTCCCATTGAAATACCTGGCTAACCTGACACACGTACACAAGTGCCTACATCCGATCTCGTGCGCTCTTGCGGTTCCTCTTGGTTTAACTTTTGGCACTGGTTGCACCTGCAGCTGCACCCACGCAGTGGCTGGGGCAACCTAAATGTAACGTCAAATTTCTCGAGCATTAGATTAATCTGTGGCTAATGAGACAGATTTCTAGTCGCGCAGTGCAGTCGCGGGGAACGAAGCTTCTAATTGGCAATGGCAGTGGTGCAGTTGCAATGGAAGTGGTGCAGTTTCAATGGCAGTGGTGCAGTGGCACACCCAGTCACAATCTCAGGCGGCAGCTGTTGCCACAGACAAAATGACAATGGCTGTGTGTGGCATTGACCTTGAACTTGTGTTCGATTTGTTGTTTTGCTTTGCTTTTCTTTGCTTTGCTTTGCGGTTTTTCGCCCTTCTACTTTTACTACGTTGGGGGTTAGTAGGGAGGGGGCAGGCAGGGCCCGTCAGCCTGAAGCAATTTGAATAGAAAATCGTCTGAGAGTTGAAAGTGGAGGTGGAACAGAGGCGGAAATACCTTTGACTGCCATGTCATTTCGCTAGCTACTCGTATACATACATACATATATTCTCAGTCTCTTCTAACTTTTGTGTCTCATTCCATTTTCCGCCGTTAAGTGCACAAATTGCGAAACTTGTCGCCTGCCACTAGGTAGCAGGTGCATCAAAAGTTGCGCTTCTCTCTCTCTCTCTCTTTCTCTGGGCTACAAATTATTGTCAAAGTGGGAAAAGGGTGAGGGGAAGTGGAAAATGGTGCTAAAATTAAATTATTGAATGTCTGTCTGTCATAAGTGCAGTAGGGAAGGCCTTGTCAAAGTATCTTCCATTGATTTATTGATGGGTACGCTGAGAAAATGAACTTTGGGTGACAAAACCGATGATTAAAAGTACGCTGAAAGTTCTATAATTTAAATATGTGCTGCGCCCTTCGGTCGTTTGGTTGGTTGGTCGGGTGATTTCCTATTCTGAAATTCCGAGATTTTTGGTTTGAAACTCTTAAGTATTCGATATTCGAACCCCTAAAACTAGTTAAGAGTAGATCATATTTACCTACTATTTTCTGATATATTTAGCCGCTGTTTTATTTGCCAGAGACGTACACCTACACCTACTTTTCGCTGGCACTGTCTTGCCATTGCACTTGCACTTGTACTGTGTTTGTTTCGTCACGCCCACAGAACGGCCTCAACCTACGACACTGTGGCTACAACAATTGAGACTGTTGTTCGGATTCGAATTGCTTCGAATTCTTTCGATCGTCACAGGCCACACAAACGATCCTCTTTCGACTCCACACTACCCCTACGGACGGATCGTCTTTCATTATTACATTATGTTTTTTTTTTTTTTTGCACTTTACCCTCTACTCTCGCATACCCATTATCCATTATGCCATTCTGCCATATTCCTGTTTCGTATTCGGATTCGCATTCGTCTATTTGTTTGTTCTATTTATTTGCTTTTGTGCATTTGAAATGTGCCGCCAAAGGGGGCAACAAAGGAAGTTGCTTCATAATGAAAATCGTTTCAAACGACAGGGAAAGAGAGAAAGAATCTACAGAGAAATAGAGAGAGCGAGAGAGAGAGAATGAGCGAGAGAGCAAACGCAGACAGAGAAAAGTTTGTCTCATTCAAAAATGAAATGTCATGGACAGGCACAGGGACAGGGACAGCATTAATTAAACAATTATAAAACGCAAATAAAATCAAAAAAGAAACAAAACATTTTATGTTTATAGTGTGGCACCACTCCACCCCTCTCCAGTGCTGCTCCTCTCATGGAACCACCCCACCCTACCTAAAACGCGTATCAGTAGAACGCCAAAAAATTTTATTGTCACGAATACATTAAAAATCACTCAACCGTTGTCTCGTGTGCCAATTTCTGTTGTTCTCCCCTCACACCACACACCCTTGCAAAAATAATACCCCACCAGCGTTCTCCTACCCTGCCATGGTGTTCATTTAAATCACATAAAAATCAAATAACAAACCAAAATAGCACTACTTAAAGCCTGTTTTATTCATTCGATTTTCAATGTAAATGTTCCCTTCCCTTGCTAGTTTCATCTCTATTTTCGTTCTTTTTATGTTAATTGATTAAAGTTTTATACGTTTTTAATAAAACGAAGCTGAACCTGGGTCTCCAGCGCACGTCATAGACTTGTAGAATACAAATTGGTAGGAGAAACCAGTTGGAGAAATGTTTACAAGAATTGAACATACCCCTTGGACCTCTATAAGAACCTTGAAATGGGCTTAGTGTTTTTTTGGAATGTGTCAAAAGCTACCTTAAAAGGCTTTTATAATATCAGGATAACATTGGTAATCTTTGACTTTAAAACGTGAAGATAAAACATACAGAAAAGGGGCTGGGAAATGACATAGGAACGTGGGTTCTTATCGAAGAGAAAATGCCCTTTTAAATTGCATAAAACGTGAAGAAAATTTCCCGAAACTAGGAAAAATATAAGTCTAAAAGGTTTCGAAAAATTTCCAAAAAGAATACCACTTAAACTCTCTTTAAATCAAAGCCCTAATCAAATTTCCACCATCAAATTCCACTGATTAATCATACCTCTGGCATTTCTTAATAATCTTTTTAAACAAAATAAAGCCATCCACTTAATTTATGCAAAATCCTCATCATAACTCAAAGCGACAGCGGAATTCGAACTTAAAGACAAATTAAACAAAACAAAAAAAAACGATTTTTTGTTCGATGATTTGACAAATGACAAATCTTAATAATGATAATACCAGTAGCCAGCCAGCCAGCCAGAAAGCCCCCCTACGATCGAAGGTGATTATTATTGTCTGAATAGCTTCAGCAACAGCTGTAAAGTGTCACTGGGGATATTCGCCCTGCGGCATCGAAGTTGATGGGACATTCAAAAGAAATTAAAAATGCATAATTTTTGAAGATAATTTCTGAAGTGTATTGTGAGCAGAGGCGTTTAATTGAGAGTTTTAAGAGGAAAACAAGCAATTGAGAAAGCTTTAAATACCAGGAAAAATCGAAGGAAGAAAACCAACATCACTTGTGTGGGGACGGCAGGCGAGAGTCAAGCGGAGAAAGGAGCCTCGTTGAGGTTCAAGAACCTCTTCATTAGTTGCGCGGCATGCAAAAGTTTATGGGCACAAGCGAAGGTCTCCGCACTGTCCCGTCCGGCGATAATTACAACCAAAGGACAGCGGGGGCGGACAATGGTCATGACATGTGTGTGGCAGGCGCCAGTCGACGGCGGCTATGGTGGAATCGCGTGTCCCCGTTGGCCGCTCCCAGCTGTGAAAAATGGGTCGCGCGTGACAAAGTTTCAGGGTGTTGAGGGGAGCAGGCAGGGGCAGAGGCAGAGGCAGGGGCCTGGACCGGACAAATCCGGCTAAAATCAATAGCAAACACGCAAATGCTTAAGCCCCCTGAATCAGCAGTGGTCGAATCAGGTCTCCATGATACCTCGTTTATTATTTCGCCAGAAATTTCTTTCGTTTGATTTTTTTATTTGACTACCAGGAACTTTGGCCAATCCAGAAAGCCGCTTGCGAATCCGAACCTAGTTTGGCGTTCGACTGCTTTTAGCGTGGGCAGGATTTTGCATGAAATGAATTTCAAAATGCTTGAAAAAATAAAGAAGCTGCCAGAGAAAAAATCGCACGTCCAGCCGTCGATCGAAATGCGAAAAGTCAACAAGAGTCGTGTAAACAGTGCGTGCTCATGTCAATCTGTGGCATGACAGACGTCCCCCCAGTGCCACTGTGGCATGTACATATGTATGTACTTTCGTGTTTGTCATGCACATGAGCATCCATCCTTCATTTCGATGGCCTTCTGCATGCAAAATCTCCTTTAATGTGTGTGTGTAAGTTGTGATACATTTGTGATTAAATGAATTTAACGGGAATCAAATTGTATATTTTTAATGATTAAAGGACCTTAAAATGGCTCCATCGGCGTAATGGATTTTCTCTACCCCTGCCATATGTGCGGAGAGCATTTATCATTTGTCACTTACCTTCAAATTCTGTTGTTCATCTATGAGTTTTGCTATCCAAATGATTTCAAATGCTTATAATGCATGGAGCATCCTACACATTGATGCCTCTTGCATGCAAATCAGCTTTACAACCATTTGAAATATGGAATCTTTTTGATAAAATCAATTAATCGGAACTTAATTGCATTTTTCAACTAATTCAAACCCCTTTAATGTGACATTATGAGCTATTTGATTAGCGTTTTATGAATTACTCTACCAGTGAGGCCCAACAGCTTTCTTTTAAAAGTAAAAGTGCTGCCAATTCAGCGCACACATCACCCCAAAACTCACATTAAAAATCCCAACCAAGTTTCATCTATCGATTTGTGTTCTGTTTAATTGGGGGAATACCATAATGCAGAATGCACTTTCAAGCAGCAGTTACATGTCGATTTTTCGTTACATTTTTTGATTGTGGAACAGCTACTATTTCTATATACACATAAAAAGGTAACACAATAGACACTAATATAATATAATAGTAGGTACATAAAAAAGCATTGTAAAAAAAGATACAAATACACATGTATTTATGTATGTATGTATGCATAAACAATAATATGTAGGTGTCGTATTTTGCGGTTGCACAGCACAGCAGCTTTGTGTTAAAAATAAACTATAAAAATAATAATACTTAACGTAGGCTTTAAAAATACCATAAAAAGGAACATATACACAGAGTCACGTCTCCTCGCTCGTCTCACATGTGATGGAAAGTACAAAAAGATCTCAAGTATATATAGAAATATAAATATATATATATATATCACACAACACACACACACTCACTATATATATAGTACAGATACTATATATAGTACAGATATCGACTAAAACACACACATATATGTATATATCTGATTGATTCCTCTCAAGATTTAGGCCTTGATTTTGCGACCCAATTTGGTAACGGCATATTTGCCGTGCCCCTCGCGTCCCGAGGAGCCGCCACTGCCGCCACCACTGCTGCCATGGCCATGGGAGGAGGACTTGTGGTTGTGCTTGCCCCCAATGCCATTGTGCGAGGGCTTTGTGCGTGTCTCAAAGAGGACATCCGAGTCCGTTTCAGACTCTGTGAGAGAGGTAGTGCGGGAATCTGCAAAGGGGTTGGTGGCATGAAAAGTGAGCTGCTGGAAGCGTAATAGGAACTCCACTCGACTTACAATTGGCCGCCTCTTCGTCCTGATTGCCTATTAGTGCATATTTCTGCACTTTCTGCCGCAAACGGGGCTTCTTCGACTGACGGCAGGCGCAGGCAATGCCCCAAAAGACGCCCGACAGCAGCAGGCAGCCCACAATCACGCCCACAAACACATACAATATGGACCAATCTATCAGAGAGAAAGGGAGAGAGATCAATAATAAACGATACCCAAGGGGAAACATAATCAATATAGATAGTTACCGCAATTGGCCTCCTGATTGCTGAAAAAGTAGCCCGCCGATGGCATCCAAAAAGCCTCACAGATGCAGGCGCGTGTCGCGGGATTGCAACTGCCATGTCCGGAGCAACTGTTCTGGCAGACGGTGGTGCGTATGTCCACAAAGAGGGCGCCCAGTATGGAGGCATCCCTCTGGAGTTTGGCACGCAGCAGCAGCTCCACATGCAGCGCATTCAGCGGCGTCGATTGCATGCCTGTAACATAAAACACGAGCACAGCCGCCTCCGTATGCAGATCGTATTTGAGCTCCCGTATCTGTATCTTGTTGTCATCGCCGAGCAGCAGCTGCAGCTTCTGCACAATGGAATCCAGTTCGGACTGAGAGATCACAGATATGCCCATGGGCAGAGTTATCTGGACGAGATACATCAACAGCGGATCGGGGTGCACATTCACGCTAACGGTGTCCGTGCTCGTCAGGCCCTGATCATCGCTCACCGTCAGCTTGAAGACATAGCGGCCGTGCACGAGGTTCGTTAGCTGCAAGCAGGGAGGGGAGGTGAGGTTACACGAATCCCAGATGAGTGCCAGACTGGCAAAAACTTACAATCATCACGGGCTGCTTGTCGGTGTCTGCCACAATAATGCCCGCTGCCAGACTGTTGTCCTCACGCGTCCACAGATACTTGACCACAGCCAAATCATCCCAAGATTGCGAGCCATTCAAATAGATGGCTGTGACGGGCATTGAGATGCTGTGATCCCCGCCAGCATTGGCCACGGGCGGCGCATTGCGTTCTAACAAAAGAGAAATGAAGGCTTAGCATAGTTTGTGCATAGTTTTATGGGCTCTGTCCCTACCCTGCACAATCTTCACCCAAGTGGAGTCTGTGGCTGTGTTGTTGTTCTCGTCCGAGACACTTAACTGGAACTCGTAGAGGCCCAACGTGAGGCTTGTGGCATTCGCCATCTGTGGAATAAACCAAGGATTAGCCTCGCAAGAAACGACAGCTTTTGAGTGTGGCTTTTACCGATGAATTGGACTTCAAAATCACTGCGTTATTGGGTCCACTTAGCTGCTTCCATTGATAGCTTTTGATGCCAATGTCATCTTTGGATTCCGAACCATTCAGCAGCACCCAATTGATGGGCAAACTTGTGGTCTACAAAACAGATTGAAGAAACAGAATTAAAAGATGAAATCCTGCTGCTGCTAATCCCCTCCTGCTTACCGCATTAGCACCCGCCTCTGCAATTGGCGGGGAATTCGTTGCTGGCTTTACGAACACATGCACCTTGGCCGTGCTCGACTGGCCACTGCCATCGGTTACCTTCAGCACAAAGGTGTACATGCCCTCCTCCAGATTCGACAGCTGTGCATAGGGTGTCCTTGTGTTTTGCATGTCCACTGCCTTGGCTTCGTCGCTGGCATCTTTTGTCCATTCCCAGGCCACGATTTCATGGTCATCGGAGCTGGCAGTGCCATTGAGTGTCACATTGTTGTTGGGCAGATACAGGATCACGGCATCGCCTGCATTTGCCACCGGCGCATAGTCCGTTTCCTTGAGAACTGCAATTGTGGCGGTCGTTGAGTTTGTGACATTATTGGAGTCCGTGACCGTCAGCTTGAAGGTGTAGTTGCCGGGCGATGTGAGATCCAGCTGGAGCGTGTTCACCTCTGGCAGCGTGGGCTGATAGCCAATGGGTCCCGAAATGACTTCCCAGTGCCAGTTGGTGATTTTGTCGTCGTCCGTGCTGGTGCTGCCATCGAGAATGGCATTGGTAGAGGGCTGTCGGATGATCTGCTTGCGCGGGGAGATGATCACCTGCGGCGGCTGATTGATGCGGTTCTCGGGTAGCACCGTCACATTGGCAGCCGCCTCGCCAAAGGTGCCATTGTCGCCCGTTACGGTGACCTTGAAGGTGTACAGTCCCTCGGAGAGATTCGACAGCTTCACCTTGGACTTGCTCTGGTCCGAAATGGTGCCATTCATCGGTCCCTTGGGCTGCGATATCAGCGTCCACAGGTACTTGTACTTGGTGTCGCTCGTCTGCTCATCGGGGACGGTGAAGGCGGCCAGCGTTACCTCCTGCTCGGGCAGACGCACCTCCTTGGACATCACCGAGACCACAATGTCCTTGCTGGCCTCCGAATTGGCTGCTGGCGCAGCGGACACCTCGGGCGAGTTCTCGCTGGCGGCGGCAGCCACTGTCTCCTCCTGCTGCTGCTGCTGCTGCTGCACAGCCTCGTCGTTGCTGGTCAGATAGGCGCTGTAGGGAATGGCTCGCATCACGCATTTCCTCTGCTTGTTCCAATCGAAGCCGCGCGGGCAGGTGCACAGCCCTGTGGCCGCATTGGGATGGAGCGGCACGCACTGCTCTTGCGGCGGGCAGGGCGTCTCCAGGTCACAGGTCATAAATTTCCCATTCTGCGGCAGCTCCACGCCGCCAAAGTAGTTGAGATCCTCACTGGCCAGCACATCGTTCTCGTCCAGTTGGTCGTGCAGCTGCTTCAGCCGTTTGTCCGCCAAGGGGAAATCCTCATCATCGTAGGTGGGCGATTCCTTTGGAGACGCGGGATTACTGGATGGTCTCTGGGTGTACTCTCTTTGGGGACTTACCTGATTGCGTGGCAAGTAGCTTAGGCGACGGGGCTGCTTCCAGAAGTTGAGGGCTGCCGCTCCCTGGGCCGCCAGCTCGTCGTAGGGCAGAATCTCGGCATTTGGCTTTGAGGCCTTCAGCAGCTGCGACCACGTGGCGGACTCTCCCACGGGATTGACCAGCACCATTTGGACCTTCTCGTTGTTGCGGATCCGTTGCTTGGGCAGGCAGCCTTCGTTGTTGCTGCAGCGGATGTGGTAGCACTTGCCGTGGAACACAAGCACCACGTTGCAGGCGCTCGACTGGTTGCGGGACTTGTCGCAGCACGCCTGCAGGCAGTTCCAGAGGTAGGCCTCCTCCTCCAGTGGCTCCTCGGAGGCGACCTCTGCGCTGGGCTTGTACTCCTCGAAGACCCCTGCCTGCTGCTCGTCGCGCGGCGTGGCATTCTCAAAGACGTGGCGCAACATGCGAGGGCAAACACCAGTACCAGTGCCAGTGCCAGTGCTGCCGCTGCCAGGTGAAGTCTCAGCGGCGGCGGCAGTGGCCGCGGAGCCCCCCGTCGCCAACAGAGCATTTTGCGTCGTTACACCAGCCATGACGTCGGCATATGCTGACGCCATCGCCAGCAGCAGCCAGCAGAGTTGCCACACGCGTTTCTCCATGACCAATACGTGGCGCACTGCTTTCCGTATAAGTTGCACAATTTTTCTTCCGTTTGTTGGCAATATTTTCCACAAATAATGAATTTTCTCTTGGAACGACAAAAAGTAACACGCAAACAGCTGATTGTTTTTCTGCGCAGAAGAGCAGTGTTGTAAGCCGTCGCCATGGAGCAGTGCTGTAGGTGGGAGCAAAAGAGCGTTATTGTTTTGAAATTACAGCCCAAGAAAAGCTTTCGTTGAAAGTTTGTTGCTTGGCAGCAGAGAGCAAGGAATGAATAATATAATATACATGGTTTCGTCGTGATTTCAGCAAAGTTTTTCGCTCATTTGCATAAATTGCAAAAATATTGATCTTCTGCTCTGCTGTGCTTTGTTCTGGTCTCTGGTCTGGCTTATAAGGTCTCGTGCTGCCCACACGAACACGTTAGCTGGTTGGTAGCGCCCCATAAATAGTCCATAAATAAATTCTGCCCACACGTCTCGAATCGAATTGCTGCAGAAATTAATTACATTTCAAGCAAATAAACATAAATCAATGCATTGTGTTTATGTTAATATTTGTGAAATGAAAAATGATATGCACAAAATCAAAGAAAACCCATTGAAATCAGCTTTGAACTAATTGGCGCTTGGGTCGGGGCGGAACTTTTGTTTGTTGTAGAAAAATCCCCCCAAAAATCCATGGTACTTATTTTTCCCGGCCTTGCTCTGACGTCTGATTTTATTATCTAAATCTTGCGGCATTAACTAACCAACAAAACACAGCAAGGGAAATGGAGAATAGCAACAGAAATTGATTTTATTAAAAGTTTGGGCAATACTTGTTTGTGGGTTCTAGTAGAATGTTTGTTGAGGAGAAAAGTTTAAGAGTCGGCTAGAGGCCGGCCGCATTTAATTTAAAAGATATTTATTTTAGGGGGAGTTCACATTTTTCTAATTTTATTACTGAGATTTCATCCGTGACAAATCTGAGAACAAACATCCGTCAGTTGCCACTGATTGCCATATAAGGGCAAAACATTTTCCTGCTGATAATAACCCTTTTCTCTCTCTCTCTCGTTTGCTCTCCCTTACAGATGACAGACTTCTCGGATAGCTCACCCAGTGGGGTGCTGAGTCCAGCCTCCACGCTGATAGAGAATTTCCACAAGAAGAACAGCTCCCCACAGCCCATAAGCAGCAGCAGCAACAACAGCATCAGCACCACTCCAACCACAATGAATGGCAATGGCAATGGCCATGGCAATGGAGGAGCAGGAGGAGGAGTGGTTGTGGGAGTGAGTGCAGGATCGGGCTCCAACAATGGCCGACAGATCAATACGAGTTCTAGTTCATGCAGTAGCCTTAAGGAAACCTCCCATCAATCCACATCCACATCGCAGCAGGTGAGACTCGAATCGAATTCAAGACAAGATTAGACAAGAATGGAGTCTGACGTAGCCAGCCGTAGACGTAGTAGCCTCTGGTCATCAGAGAGCTCTCTCAGATATCGTAATTGAAGGTGCGAGATATGGTGGTGGAGAGAGCTGACCAGAGCCCCTATATTTAGCCCATTACTTAAGGAGGCCGCATAATCAGGCAACCTTTTAGCAGTCAGCACCTACATATATCTGTATCTGTATCTGTGCGTGTGTTCCGTTTCTCGCCACCACCGATAAGCATAGAGGTTAACAGCCATTGATAGCCCTTCTCTTTTCTCACCTACTCTAAGTGCGATCCCCCCGATAAGATTATAGTGCTGCCTATATACTGCCTGATCGGGGCGACATCATGGCTGCTGTCTAAACAGAATCGTTAATAATACGCACTCGTATTAATCACTCGCTGGTGTGAACAGAAAAATAAACCCATCTAAATTATAACTGAATAATTCACGGAAATATATTAAAAATTCAAAAATACAAAAAAAAAAAAATAAGAAAACAAAGTGGAATGAGAAATGGGGAAAACGTGCCGCCTGTGCCAATTGCTGTTTAAACAATTTTAACGATCTGTTAACAATTTATTTATGATTTTCTCTGTGCTTTAATGATTCAAATAGATTAGATATGTGTGCCTGGGGTATTCACCAGAATTTGCATAGTACTCATACGAGTGTTGCCTTTTATCTAGAAAATTTCCCAAGTTCTTTTTGATAAGGAAGTTGCCAATCAGCAGAATGAAAAAATGTCCATCAAAAGATGACAGTTTTTGGCTGGGCCCCCCTCCCCCCAGCCAAAAATAGCCACTGACTTGGTCAAGTAGAATGTTGTATTAATTTATGACTTGACAGAGGTTAGTGTAGTGCTCTCGTAATCAAAGTAAATACGAAGTACTGCGAATACATTTATGACACACGTTAGAGGTCTCTCTGTGGGGTAGGGTGGGGGCTAAGCATCTCCCTTTGTACACACACACACACACAGAAAGCAAGCAGAGACGACTCTTTTCGTCTGTTCTCCCACACTCTGTCTAGACATCATCTCTCGCTCTCTCTGTCTGTATGTCTGTCTGTTTGTTTGTTGGTCGTGCTTTATATATGGAGAATGAGTCATTTGCCGGCACACTTCGACGTCAGCACGGGCCACAGATTCGCCTCTCCAAGCATCATCATCATCAGTTTGGCCGCGTGCTAAATTAGCTCTGGTTTATGGGGTTATCTTGCTTACATCCTGGTGGAGATCCAAGTTCAAACATTAACAATTTGATTTGCTCTAATTCTAATCTACAGCTCATCTTTTATAGACCTATATTCCACTGCCACTATATAGTATAGTGTAGTATAATATATTTCATTCATATTCAATTGAATAACACACAAATGTCCCTTGACTTTCGTCGAATTGATTGTCTCAATGACTCGGAACGGAATAGAACGGGTGACAATTTTTGTTTTCTTGGGAAAAATTTGTTATTTTAGTTGGCTTAAGAAACCGATTTGGCGATATGATTTGCCTGTTCGCAGAAATTGTTGAGGTAAGGCACAAGAAAATAGGAGAATTGTGGCAAGCAAAGAGAGGTGCCATAGAAGGTATTTTAAGAACAATTAATGATAAGCAGAAAATATAGAACTTAGAGGAATAATGTATGATTAATTGAAACTAAAATTGGCTTGAGAATTTAAGGAAATTAGTATAATAATTAGAATAAAATTTGAACAGACTGAAGAGAATAATAGATAAGAAGCGGCACCTATGGCAATGGAAATGTTAAGATAACTAAAATATCAATGACAGCCAGCACCTTTAATTATGCTAAAAGCCTTTCAAAATGCACTCAAATCCCCATTAAACGACCTAATAATTAAATTATTAAGAATTCCAAGCGAGTTCGTTATACAATTATGCATAAATTAACACCTAATTATTCAAATATTCCAAGACAAATTTTAAACGGAATTCGATCTTTCCGTCGCTCTACGTCAGCGTCTCTGTCCCACTCTTTACGGAATAAAAGGTACCGTGATAATCAGAAAAGTAAACAACGCAAATTGAAATGAGAAAAACGAGATACGATCTTCAACAAGCTGCCAATATCAGCAACAGCAAAAGCAACAAAAGCCACAAAAGCCACAAATCAAACCAATGAAACTTAGCAGAAATCAACTGAGCAGCGGGTGAACGCGAACGCGTTAATTAGAGAAGCAAAAGCTCTAAAACGTGTACCACAACAGAGCCTGGGTAGTATAGTTCATAGAATTATGGAAATGCAAATTAACGCCAATTAACGCCACACACAACACACACAACACACACCACACACACCACACACACCACACACGTACACGTACCAAACCCTAAGGAAAGAGTGGGACAAAGAATTCTATTTCCTAGAATTATACACATACAGAGGCACACAGAAACTTGGGAGCGAGCACACACAGACACGCTTCACTCTCTCAAACTTATCACCCTCCCTCCCCCTAGCACACGCTCGCTTTTTGCCCACCCACTGCTCTCTCTCTCTATGTCTCTATCTCTCTTCCGCTTGCCGATCGGCACTTTAAACTGACGACAAGACAACAGCTACCAACGCCGCTCAAAAAAAAAGCTTCGGCTCGCGCTGCTCTGTGTTGTGGCTCTCAAGCTAGAAATTTCTCGGCACGGCGCTCATTTTTATTTTAGTTAACGAAACGAACGAAACACAGCAGTGGCGACGCGCTAAGAAATTCAGGAAATACTCGAACAAAATTAAAAGAAGCAAAAAAAACCCCAAACCGAAAAGCGGAATTGTTGTTGGTTGTATTTTCCATTGCTAGCGTGTGTGCCCCGCGAATCAAAATATTATAATAATAATAATTACACAACGAAGAAACGAAATCAATGCCCAAGGAATTCCATCTTGTGCATTAACGAACCTTAAACACAAAAAACGAACTCTCTTTTGTTATCAATCAGTATTGCACAAACAACAAAAAAAAAAACCATAAAAAATCGAAACGAAAAAAAAAGTTGTACAATTTGTAAAGGCGGTAAATGCGTTAAAAGCGGGAAAACGTGAAAGAAATCAACCCACAAAAATATTTAAAATAAAATACATATAGTATAATAGATCTACATACATATACATACATATGTATTCTATTCCACAATTGTGTTGCTTGTGCTAGTGTGTATCTGATAAGCCCGCACTCATCCCAGGCTGATTATTCCGCTATATGCCATAGAAATATATGCACATACATATGTGTGTCCGTGCTTTATCAAAACGAAGGCGTATACGTAATATGAAATTCAATTGAATTTTGCAAACATTTCCAAGAAGTTTACCCCGCACACACACAACTCTTGACAATCACCAAAAGGTTAGTCCCAGAAAAAAGAAAAACATCATTCAGATAATTTAGTAAATGACGCAAAAATGTAAGAAAAACCAATTCCTACTATACGCGTATAGTGGAACGATGATATCTAATCTTTTTGATTTCATGTCCGAACCAAACTCCCCTGTAAGCGAAATATTTATTGATCAGTGTGTTATGGAGTGCTTCTTGCCTTACCTTACCTTGCCGATAAGTTTATGTCAGGAAAGAATGTGATTCGCGATATGTGAGGGCAATGTTTGCCTCGGGCTTTGGCTCTGGCCAACTTGTCGTATGCGTAATGCCATCCATTCAAATCGCTCTCGATTCCGAATGTATTTGCACATGTTTTATTGCCCCACCAGAAGACTGAATGCCATGCC